GATAGCGAACAAGACAGAGACTATCTTATTGCCTCTCTATAAAACCATGGTACGCCCACATCTTGAATGCTGCCTGCAGATGTAGTCACCTCGTCTCAAAAAAGATATATTGTCACTGGAAAAGGTTCAGAAAAGGGCAACAAAAATGATCAGGGGTTTGGAACAGGTACCATATGCAGAGAGATTTAAAAGACTCTTTCAGCTTAGAAAAGAGGAGACTAAGGGGGGATATGATACAGGTTTATAAAATCAAGACTAGTGAGGAAAAAATAAAGAAAGAAAAAATATGTAATTGTTCCCACAATATAAGAACTAGGGGTCACCAAATGAAATGAATAGGCAGCAGGTTTAGAACAAACTGAAGGAAGTTTTTCTTCACTCAGCGCACATCCAACCTGTGGAACTCCATGCCAGAGGATGTTGAGAAGACCAGGACGTTTACAGGGTTCAAAAAAGAGCTAGACCGATTCATGGAGGGTTCGTCCATGCATGGCTGTTAGCCAGGATGGGCAGGGATGGTGTTAGTCTGGAAATGGATGACAGCTCTGGGAGATTCATTTCAGAACAGACGGGATCAAATTGGAGAAAGTTCAGAGAGGAGCAGCACAAACGAGGAAAGGGCGAGAAAACCCGGCCTGGGAGGGCGACTGAACGAACTGGGCTCCGTTAGTCTGGGAAGGAGCAGACGGAGAGGGGACACGAGAGCAGCTTTCAAGTATCTAAAAGGATTTTACAGGGAGGAGGAAGAAAAATTGTTCCCCTTGGCCTCTGAGGACCGGACAAGCAGCAATGGGCTTAAACTGCAGCCAGGGAGGTTTAGTGAAACACTGGAATAAATTGCCTGGGGAGGTTGTGGAATCTCCATCCCTGGAGATAGTTAAGCGCAGGCTGGACAGACACCTGCCAGGGATGGTCTAGACGGCGCTTGGTCCTGCCGTGGGTGCAGGGACTGGCCCTGTGGCCTCTCCAGGTCCCTCCCAGTCCTACGATTCCATGGTCTTGACTCCAGCCCTCCCCCAGAGGGTGTAACTCTTGCTGCAGGTGATCCTGGCCCCTCCACCCCCATCTCAGAGCCTGCCAGAGACCCGGAGAGGGAGGAATGAGGAGAAGAAGACGAGCCACATGCCCGGGTCCAACATCCCGGCCTGGGCCTCAGTGCGGTGAGGCCAGGAGCAGACGGGCAGCAGGGGGTGGAGCTGGCCAGGCGGGAAAGGCTGAGGAG